TAAATAAAGGAAAAATTATATGAAAAATAGATAAAATGGTTTTCTACAGTAACTTCAACCTATACATCCATAAAAGTAACTTTAACCCTATGTTTTTTTTAATATTACACAATTTAATGCGCAAAATCAAAATTTACGTAGTTGATGAAAAAGTTAACCGATAAACCTGATAACCCAAAAAAAGGGGTTACCAAATGAGCTCTAAAATAAACTACGTATATGATTTTAAAAAAAAATCAATTTTACAATTCGCTAAATTATGTACTGCCCGTGCATCGCACGGGCTTGAAAACTAGTACATTAATACATACACTTAAATGATCGAACTAATAGCTATGGTTAAATCGACTAATCAATGAATAATGGCCACATAATAAAGTTAATAATATACGAAAATGAATACTACTACGTAGTTTGTTGTGTATCACTTCATAATGAATATTGAAGCTACTTAGTAGGCCAAAAGTAACTTCGGTCTTCCTCACCTGGAAAGATGGAATCGCTAGCCAACCCCACATGCCTGCATATATATCTCAATCTATGTAGCACCTATACCGGTATGCGGAAACGCGGAAACGGGTATAGGGATACGTCAAAAAAAAAAAGGAATGGATACGGGGCCATATTTATAAATATTAAAAGTTATAGGGGTGTATTTACAAATATTAAAAGTTATAGAGTCTATTTATAAATATTAAAAATAGATTTTTTTTGAAAATATATACATATAATATCCTATGATGTCTACACATTCATTGCATTGAAGCATTTTCCTTTTTCAAGATACTTAGTAATAAATTCATAATATTTCTCATATACACTAGTGCATCTCGAAATATAAATGTAGTCGATAAGTCATTAATTTAAAATGCGAAATAAGTCAAACAACTACAATCTTGAAATTAAAAGTGCAAGTACCCAATTCGGAGTATGAGTTAATGACTTAATTCGGATATAGCCATATAGGCCCATTATTTGATTACCAAGTAAAATGTAGTTTTAGATTTTCATTTTTTTAAGAATTTTATTAAGTAAATTTAGGGATTTTTAAAAAAAAAAGTTGATACGAGTATTTGTCAGGATACGAGTATCGGAAACTTTCAAAAAAATTGAAAAATTACAAAAAAAATGGAAACTTTTGAGAATTGCAGATACGGCCTGGGAACGTACGGTACGGGTATCCTAGAGTATCGGATACGACGATACGCTACCCTAGGGAAGTATCCGTGCTTCATAGACCCCAATGCAACCGAATGGTGAACGATTAAATCATGACATGATCTCAAGCATCATTTGAGTGTGGTGATTTAGGACCCGGTGTGCACAATAAGTTACCACATTGGATGGAACTTCACTTTACCATTGTTAAAAATTGAAGTTGAGACCTCAATCTAACTATCTCATTCAACCATCGTTGAGTTAGGTGTGGCGAATGTAATCTTCCACTAGGTGCCGAGTAGAAGGCTAACAGCTTTTTGCTTCAAAACTGTTAAAATAGTACTTTCCAAAAGATGATTTTGCTTAATTATTTAACTATGCTAAAGCTAATTAAAGGTGTAAGTAGCGTGCTTGAAAGTTATAATTACGGAGTATTTTTCATAGTTACGGCACACGAAAAATATTTGTTACCAAACACCCCACTTTTGACTTTTACAATTCAAAATTCACTTTTATTTTCAAGAATTATCTACAATTGATTGCTTTTACTGTAAAGCTAGAAATCATATGTGAGCAGTGATAAGAGCACTTCAATTCCTTAGGTTAATCGCAAGTTAGCCGTCAATACATCTAATTTTTCACTAGTTTATACGTATTCATCTAGTCAGTCCAGCTTTTTCCTACAACTCAGCACCGTCAATATACTTATTCAACATATTTTTTTAATTAAATGGATAAATCATTACATTTTTATTACACATCATTTATGAGATAGTTTTATTTTTACTAATAATTATGATTTAAAAAGTTAAACATTCCGATTTTTTTTTGTAAGTATTAAAAATGCACATTTGAGTTAAATTTTAAATAAATTTCAATAAAATGCACAATATTACATCATTTTCTATATTGCTACATTATTAATTTTCATTTTTAATATTATGTACTTGTTGAATATTAAGATGAATCAATTGAAACACATGTTTTCAAATTCAAATACTAACAATAATCAAATAGTAGAAACTCAAATAATATTGACTACGATGATAAGAAGAGATGTCAAAAAAAAATTAATCATCAAATCTTAATTTTAACATTTACAACTACTTAACAAAAAATTGGATCTAATAATCTACCACAATTGAATTAATTGGAATCACACATTCTTTACCAAAAAGGAAATTAACAATATTAGTGGGACAACCAAAAAAAGAAAATTTGACAAGTTTTAAAGGACGGGGAGAGTATATATAAAAATATTACTGATAGTTATTATAGTTTATAGTCTCATAGTCAATTAAGTGAAAATATCAAATAGAAATTAAATTAGGGGGAACTTGAGTTTGCACTCCATTTTATTGTACAAATTGGACTTTGCACTCCGTATTTAAAAAACTTTGTTTTTGCAACCCAACCCTCTATGAAAAAATAAGAATGCCCCTCCATTAAAAATTAGGTTGGCCTTCAACATATTCCTGTTTGAGGGGTATTTTTGTCTTTTCATATGGGGTTGGGGTGCAAAAACTATGTTTTTTAAAAAAGGTGGTGCAAAATTCAATTTGAACAATAAAATAAGGTGCAAATTCAAATTTCCCCTAAAGATTAAAATGACTAAAGTTTCAATTATGGTGATCATACTTAAAAATCACATTTTTGCGTATCATCTAGATTTTAGTAAAGAGTACTACTATCCCCATCCAATTGAGATTATCTCAACTTTTCTTTTGGATATCTCCCACTAAAATTGTCACATCGGAGTCAACCCATCCAGCTGAGATTATCTCAACTTTTCTTTTGGCTATGTCCCACTAAGAGCATCTCAAATGTGACAATGTGCACGATGCACATGTGCCATGAGAGATAGTCATATAATTATTAGCAAATAAATTATCTCTCTTCTTATCTGAATGATTTTGAACAATTTAGCTAAGTTTCTCTCTGTAATATCAACCACAATGTCAACATCTAGACGATGTGCTTGACATTGTGGAGAAAACTTGTCAAAATCGTATAAAATCATTAAAATAAGAAGAGAGATGATTTATTTGCTAATATTTAATTATATGATTGTCTCTCATGCTACATATGCACCATGCACATTGTAACATTTGATATGATCTAAATTTGCCGCATCGAGTCAAATCTACTACCTATATAAGGATACACCAATATATGAAAAATACTTGGTTTACACAAAACATGTACACCTTTTGTACATTTGTCTGTCTCACGCACAAACAATTGTCTGTCCACATATGACTTTACAGAGTGGTGTGTAAACAGACAATTATTTGTACGTGAGACAGGCGAATGTACAAAAGGTGTACACCTTTTTGTAAAAAAAAAGGATGACACCCCATCCCTGAGGGCCCCCCAACACCGACCGGACGGCACGATGGGAGGATGTAAATTGGATATAATCACAATCTGACAGATAGAGAGTGGGGCTCTGTCCCCGGTACTTGCAGAGGTCCTATGCATTTTTCAGCATAGTAACCCCTCATCGCAGTTGCCGGGATTCGAACCCGAGACCTAACCCTTGTGGCACTCCCTTGCTACCAGTTGAGCTACGCCCACCGGTGGTGTACACCTTTTTGTGTACACCAAGCACAACCTCCAATATATTGTTGGAAAAATAGGAGTATTTCAAATGAATAAAATATTTTATTTTTATCATATGGAGTATTATAAATTATCTTCTTTAATATTCCTTAATTATATTATTATTATCTACTTGTTGCCAACTTTGAGAGGTAGATTCTATGGTACCCATAAGGTACCATACCTTTGTCCACATGGACCAATGAGAATGTAGCAATTGAATTATTTAAATCTAAATTAAAAATGATAAAGTGATGTGGTCCAATCAAATGGGTGGTAGGTACGGTACCCCATTTTTTAGAAAGGTACCGAAGTTGTCACCAATGGTAGATTCTATGGTACCCATAAGGTATCATACCTTTGTCCACATGGACCAATGAGAATGTAGCAGTTGAATTATTTAAATCTAAATTAAAAATGATAAAGTGATGTGGTCCAATCAAATGGGTGGTAGGTACCGTACCCCATTTTTTAGAAAGGTACCGAAGTTGTCACCGTATAACATATGCGGTCACCTGTACGTTTTATGGTGGTGAAAAAATCAGCCTAAAAGCTTAATGTGTTAGAACATGCGAACTACAAACTCCCCACATAATATTCTTACACTACTAGATTAATATTTGTTTTGTGCTCTCGTTGTTCTGTTACGCCGAATAGCTCGTTATATCTTGGGGAAAGATTTTCGCTAGTCGGAAATACTTTCTTGAGGATAACGACTAACGCGTCTCGAGCTATATTATTATTTATAACGCTTTTTGCAAGTTTTTCCGCCCAATTCCTCCAATATATATATATATATATATATATATATATATATATATATATATATATATATATATATATATATAATAGAGATCAAATACAAAGCCTTCTTAATTTACAAAGTACAAACTCATCTTGACCGTCCGATGAGTTGATCCAAAGGACATAAAGGCAAGGTGGCATTTTTGTAATAAAACCCAACTTTTTAGGGTGCAACTCGTTGCACCTTAATGTGAAACTGTTATTTTTATGACTTTATAATGTGCAATACTTTGAACCTCAATATGCAATGCAAATAACGTCAAGGTGCATCGTACAAATATTTGCACAATAAGCACACTTTGTACTGGATCTTTCCCCTATATATATATATATATATATATATATATATATATATATATATATATATATATATATATATATATATATATGGATGACCATAAATTGCCGTCGCCTAGTTGGTCAGTTGGGCAGAACTTATGAGACTCTATATATAGTAAATAAATACCATACCTACTGTAGGGTCGAATAACGTTAAATTTTGTACGTGCTCTTAATTCGATCGACCGACAGGTATACTTCGTTGCTTCTAAGCCATTAGCATAATGTTGAATGGGTGGTCATCGTCTATTATATGTTCATGGCGACTATGCTACGCTCTTGGCGCTCTTCTATGCTTCCTCACATGGGGCGGCGAAGCAACCATAAAGCTGCCGGACGGAACAGTTATTCCGGCGATCGTCGCCTTCGGGGATTCCATCATTGACCAGGGCATGAACAACTATATCCCCGCCATCGCCAAATGCAACTTTCCGCCGTACGGGGATGACCTGCCCGGTGGAAATCCCACCGGACGCTTTAGCAATGGCAAAACCGCTATTGATATTATAGGTAATCATATACCGTAATTGAATGTGCATCGATTATACTTTCCAGTAGTTAAAAAAATGTAACTGTCAACTTTTCACAGTTGTGAATGGACAACTTTGATCATTAATATACATAATTTCTTATTATTAAAAAAATCAAAAAATCAGATTTTGAAAATTTAGAATGAGACAAATTGAATAATATGATTTTTTGCAATTACTAATATATATTACTAGTAATAAATTAAACCCAGTTAGTCAAAGTTAAATATGTGAATAATATAAAGTCTTATATTATACATAACAAACGCTACTATTAATATGAGTAATTTGCTACTATATCAACTAGATTTTTCCTTAATAGGGTTCATTCATGTAAGATGAGTTAGGATGTTTTCTTTTGGACTGTTTTTAGTCCCTGACCAGACCAGACTTAAACAGACCAGACCAGACTTAAACAGACCAGACTAGACCAGACCAGACCAGACTTGGACAGTTATAAAATACACAGAGACCAGACGTTTACCAGACCAGACCAGACCAGTTCAAACCAGACTTAAACAGACCAGGCCAGACCAGACCAGCAAATTTCAGTCAACATCCTTAATACGTGCAGCCAATGGGATAGGCAGGTCGTGATGAGCCAGTATATATAAAGAATTTTAAAAATAGAGTTTTACACATATTTTAAAGTACAAGTATTCCAGCTACTTTCCTAAAAGATGATTTCATTTTCTTATGGGAACCTCCTAATGGGAAAGTTGGAGTAAAGAAAATTCCCTCTAAAATAATGATTAAGTTTATAAATAGAATTATCATTATTTTATTTTTGAAATAGTACTCATTTACTCATATTTTGGAAATTTTTAATCAAATTATTCTTTTAATAGGACTAAATAAGTCATATGACTCATTCACTCTTATTTTGGTCGTCATCAAATTATTGTTTTAATAGGATTAAATAAGTCATATTAGGGGAATAAAACACAGTGTATGTTTTATCACACTAGACCATATAGAAACTCACCACACACTCAGGGGCGGAGCTACTGGGGGGTCAGGGTGGTCAGCCGACCCCGCTGAAAATTTAAGATTGTAGAACTATGAAATATCTTTGATTTGATATATTATGACTCTCGTAACTCATTACGAGTAAAAAGTTATGACTTCTGCAAAATCAGCACTATTTAAGTTTGAAATTAGTAAAATTGTGATGCGTAATATTAATTATATTCACAAAATAGCGTGTAATTCACTCGTTACTTACGTGACATGACTTAGGGACAGAGCAAATACAACATATCTTACTGCTACGAGTGTTTACTCAATAAATGATTCTTTTCTAGTAAGAAATCTTGATACTAAACCGAGTAAGATCGAAGAGAACCATAGAGTGCTAGGATAAGACAATGGGTCTCATCCGAGGTACTCAACCCGTATAAAACATGTTTATAATATATGTGACAGTGTGACACATACACTCTATTAGTTTCATTTAAACTATCATTTATCTAAGCTACATTCAATTCGGGTATTGTCTAAAAGTAATCTACCGTTTTGATTCTATGTAAATTTGATTTCGACCCCGCTGAGTCATTTTTCTAGCTCCGCCCCTGCACACACTAATAATTTCAGAATTTTGTACTTTCTGTCTGTTCTATTCTTATATTGAGCTATTTCTATACCTTTATGCTCCACGTGAGAAATCACCACGCACCAGATCAATTTAGATGATTCTAGACTTAAACATATTAAATTGTAATAGGAAAAAGGTGCAGGCCCATGTACTAATAAAAAAAGGTCAAATAAGCCTTTATTTAGGAAGTTCTGTCCGGCCGTCGTCATTTGGGGTAGTTCCCGGTGGAATTTTTTCATGAAATTTTTTGAGCATCTTATTCATCAAGTCTAGTTTGCTCATACTAAATTTCAGCTAAAACTTCAATCGGGAAGGCATTCAAATGAATTCTTGAAGATAACTGCGCTTCTAACTGCCCAGTTATTTTCAAGAATTCATTTGAATGCCTTCCCGATTGAATTTTTAGATGAAATTTGGTATGAGTAAACTAGACTTAATAAATAAAATGCTCAAAAAATTTCATCAAAAAATTCCACCGGGAACCACTCGAAATGGCGACGGCCGGACAAAGCCTGCTAAATAAGGGCTTATTTGACTTTTTTTATTAGTACATGGGCCTATTTGCACTTTTCCCATAGTAATATGTTTGATCGTTTTAATCAATTCTGATAAAATTTAAAGGCCTGGAAATTTCAATCAATGTAAAAAGATTACATATTATTCAATCAACACGTACAACAATAGAAGAAAAACGTTTTTTTTAAATTGAATTCTTTTTAATATACTCCATCCGTTCTTTATTATCTGTCCCGCTAGCCTTGGGCACGAGTTTTAATAGAAAAATAGTAGGGTAAATGTAGAGTGTGTAAGGGAAATGATAAAATAGGAAAGAGAGTGTATTAAAAAGAGTAAAGTGGTGATAAAGTGATGATAAAGTAGGAAAGAGAATATATTAAGTAGAGTAAAGTTATGATAAAGTAGGAAAGAGAAAGTAGTTTGTAAAAAGTAAGAGGGGTAAAAGTTAAAAAAAGTGGAGGTATTTTATCAAAAACTTTCCTAAAATAGAAAGAGAGACAAATAATAAAAAACGTCCCAAAATGGAATGCGAGACAGATAATAAAGAACGGAGGGAGTATAAAAAACATGTGATTGGCATGTATTTAGAAAATAAATTTATTTCCAGGCACTACAAGGTTTTAATAACTCCATCCGTCCCATAAAATTGTTCTCGCTTTTTTTGTGCTTTTTCAAAAAATAGTTCTCATTTCTCTTATAGGAAAGTTTTTGTGTGACCACAATTTATTTACCTTTTACTTATTCAAGCATAACCATACATTCCCAGTTCCCACTTTATTGTCACTCTCTTAAGCTCGGATGCAAGTCAAGGTTGAAACTATTTTATGAAAAGAAGGAAGTATGAGGCATGTATTTTAGGTCACAAAGAAATTTATCGTATGGATGGTGGCTCACTAACTCATACCTTAAATTTTATGGAGTTCCTTTCCATAAATTGCTCAATAGAGGACTAAGAGATACCTAAGGTATAAAAATAAGATGAAGTATATTTTATTCCTCAAATAGAACTCATTTGTCCTATTAAAAAATACTATGTAAATTGTATAAAAATTTCAAAATTGGAGTGAATGAGTTATCTTTTGGAAATAAAATAATAAGTCCTATTTGTAATACTACCCGCTTTCCCGGTCTCTCATTAATCCACAAAATTGAATAAATTTCAATTTTGGTCCTACGAGTATCACAACGATTCCACAATTGGTCCGCGTCTTTGACTACTTTTGGTACATGATTATTGTGTTTTCGTCCATATATGGCTCTTTCGGCAATAATTCTTCCGGTGGTTAAAATCGTCGGAGAAGAACAACAAATGGTCAAGAAACATTAGTCAGGTACCAAAAGTGAACAACATGAAACACGTGGAATAAATGTGGAAATGACATAAAACTCATAGGACCAAAAGTGGAATTAATTCTTCTTAATTCGCATTGAATTGGTTCATCTACAAGTCTACATGTACAATATACGGATTAAATCTGCCATTTAATTTTCATAAGTTTGTCAAACTATTTTTATAAGTTTAACTTTTAATTTTCAAAATAACTAATTAATAATGCTCATTTTTACTTTCAATTAATTAATTCTAAATGATCATTAGTGAAATATTAGATATACTACCTCCGTCCCAAAATGTTTTGCAAAGTTCACTATTTTTTTGTCAACCAATGTTAATGTTAAATCCTCCCTATTTGATAATTAATTCAATATTAATGATTAAAATTTACATATTCGAAAACTAAATTAAAATCTCTACAAAGTTTCAAAATCTAAATTAAAATTTAATCAAGAATTGATATCCTAATTAAGTGAATAAAATGACATTTTTGATCCACAAAAGGCAATTTTGCAACTTCAATTTGGAAGGATGAGAGTATAAAACAAAGCTGTACGTTTTGGAAGTATATAGCTCTGTAGCCAACTAGCCATACAAATCTTAGGACCTTTGACATGTTAACAATGATGGAGTACTGTGTATTTCAGCTGAAGAACTTGGAGTAAAAGAGCTAGTGCCACCTTATTTGGATCCCAATTTGCAAATTGAAGATCTGAAAACGGGAGTCAGCTTTGCATCGGCAGGATCTGGATATGATCCTCTAACAACACAAAATGGGGTAATAATAATAATCGCACTGATGACAATACAAGTGGACATGTTTGTATTTGGAATGCTTTTGATCCGGATTAGAACATATCAAATCAGATTTGAATAGTTATAAAATATCAAATAAGAACATATCAAATGTTAAAACATATCAAATCAGATTAGAACAAATCAAATTAGACATTTCCAAGACCACATCTGATCAAACCAGAAAGTATCAATCTAACTAAAAACATCTTAATAATCTAAACGAATCACATTTCACACCTTTTTCTTTTAGAAAGTTACATGTGTACAAAAAAAATTATACACAAATCATACATTGTACGTGTACACATGTAACTAGCAAGTTTTTTAAAGAACTGCATGCATGTGTACGTAGACAAATTATACACACCGTACCCCCTAGTAGTATAAGGACAGATATGTGTACACCAAACGTGTACACAAAACGTGTACATCAAGCATTTTCCTTATACATAGGTAGTTCGTTTAAAAAATAGTGGATTGTCTGTATGCACAAGTATTATAAAACTTGTGTACAATTTTTTTGTATAAGCCCTTTTCTTTTTACAAAAAGTGTTGAAATTCAAATAATGATAGTTTTAGCCCGCTGATCCGATAACCAAGTGTTAACAAAAGTGAATAAAAATGAACAAAAATTATAGTAATAATAATAAAAATAATTAGTGTTGCCTCTCAAATAATTTATCACAAAATTTTATCACTTTCCTTTTAACATAAATAATTTGTAATTCTGATTCTTTCTTCTCTTACCCCACAATTTTTATGTTTCTTATTTCACACCTAATATGAACTTGTTAATGTTAAATGGGTCCGAGGTAATATGGTGTACATCCTAAAAATATATAGCGCAAATTATATTGTGGGATCGTTATACTATGCATGTGCATGAGATATCGATCCCAATACGGTATCGTCCTGTCACTGAGACGAATCCCAGCTGCCGCAGATCTGAAAAGTGGGTGAAGTGTCGTCTAAGCTTCTCCTTTCTTCCATTGAATCGTCGACCAAGGTTCGTCCGTCGCCGATCCAACTGAAACACAGTTGAAGAAAGACACACATGCAGCGACGACAGAGCGGTAGGCAACGGAGGGAGGCGTGAATGACGGGAAGGGACAGATGCATAAATGGTACAATAAATGGAATTTTTTGGTCGGAAATTTGAATAAAATCTCAATTTGAAACATTTATGTATAGTTAAAGTACCGTTTTGATTCATTTAAGAGTTAAGGTATCAAAATGCAACATTACCAATAGTTGAGGTACCATTTATGCATTTACCCCATGAACGACGATGAGAGGCGCAAGCAACAGAGGAAGGTACGACCGACGGAGAGAGGCTAAGCCGATGGTCATCGATGAGGCTGGGAGGCTTCGGCGGACAAGAGAAGAGTGGTGTTGGCGTCTGAGAGAAAAGCAACGAATGATCTGACAGAAGGAGATAAGGGACGGTATTATAGGAGGCTATTTTTGACATTTCAGATATATTTAGTCTCTTTTTTGTCCAAAATCAGAACATGTTCTATTTTTTTTCTAATGATAAGCTGGTAGTATTATTTTGGTCATTATTCCTTAAAAAAAACCGATTAAAAGTACATTTTCGTGATTGAAAGAAGAGAAGAAGAGGAGGTTACTAAGGCCTCCCCATCAACGTTCTTGCTATTACTATGTACTATGTAATCTAATACTAACGTAATAATTAGTATCAAATCACTTTCTATTGTTCATATATAGTGACCTATTTTATATATAGGTATGTAAAAAATGATAATGTAACCAATGGTGTCCGGCCCAGGGACTATATATTGTTTAGTTTACTGCAAATGGTAACAATCTTGGATAATTGATAATGGATATCATGTCATGTACCACGGTTTCATATATAGTCCATATGTCAAAAAAATTATTTCAGGTAAAAAAGTTGCATCCTAGATGCCATAAGTATGATTTAAAAAACTCGTGCATATATGCATTCTCTGATGCTAACGATGCAATGGAACATCTCTCACTTTATTCAAAAATATTCTAGAGATCCCTAGTTGCACACACCAAATTCTAGAGGTTACTAGTACTCTTAATAAAATTACTATCATCATTACTATTACAATCATTACTAGTGTTAGTATCATAGAAAAATATACAAATTAGAGGATGATGTTCTAGAAGAACAAAGTAGATGAGTGCCATATTCTCTATAGTATAGAATATTCTTTGAAATTCATGTATGTGGAAGAAGATATGTGCAAGATTTTACAAAAAAATATGACGTACTATAGATTTTTCATACCAAAGATTTAAGTGAGAGTTGTTGGAAGACTCAAGAAAGTGAGAATATCACATGCACATATTCTAGAAAAGGCTTGAATACTTATATGAGTTATATCTAACTTTAGAATTTAGCATAAATAGGGGTGAGCAGAAGTCTATTGAGATTGGAGGAATGAAAGAACCATCTTGTGAGAAAATAAAATCAAAATTAAAGATATCTCGTAAAAATGTTAATTCATTAAGAAAGATGAGAAATTTGAAAAGGCTTCATTCCAGTGAGTGACATATGGTGAAGTAGTCACAAGTATAATTAATGAGTGAACTGAGTTACATCTACATTGATAAATTGCCTCTTGCATGCTTCAGAGCTTATTCAACATAATCATTTTATTACATTGTTCATTTTAATTTTCTGATTGCGTAAGGGCATAAAGAATTATATGAGCTCGTGAATGGCCGGACCGGAAGATGCTGACTTTTCTATAGCAATAATTGCTTAGAACTTTAACATTAATACTTTGTAATTCATGATTTATGTTCTCACTAGTAACCAATTTCTTGTTTAAATTCAAAAATGAAAAAAATTCAGGGAGGTATCTCATTGTCCCAACAGTTAGATTACTTTAGAGAGTACCTAAAAAAACTCAGGAACGTGTTAGGAGAAAACGAGACAAACTTCATAACAGAAAACAGTCTACTATGGGTGCTTTCCGGAAGTAATGACATTGCAATCACCTACTTCACCTTGGGACTTCGTCGATTACAATACACCATTGATGCCTACACAGACTTTATGGTTGAGAGTGCTTCGAGTTTCATCCAAGTACGTCATAGTTATTAGTAACATTTTTTTTATTAATAATGTTGGTAGATAACTCAACTATAAAACAAATCCATAGTTTTTTCTTTTATTTTCACTCAATCATATTTGATATATGGTATACACCTTCCTAATGATCAAACAATTAAATTTCAGGAATTGTATGGGATAGGAACTCGAAGGATTGGGGTATTCAGTCAGGTACCAATAGGATGTGTGCCGGCAATGAGGACACTCAATGGAGGCAATAGTTGGAATTGTGCAGAGAAACAAAATGAAGTAGCTAAACTTGTCAATGCTAAGTTATCGGATGAGATTGATTTCCTTTCCAAAACATTACCCGGTGTGAAGTTGGTTTTCATAGACCTTTACCATCCTCTTCTTGACCTCATCCAAAATCCCGGAAAATATGGTACATACACTATTTTTTAATCTTATTTTGAATTGTTCTAATTTAACATTCCCAAATATAACATTTAATATCATTCTACATTGATTGACTTTTTAAATCATTTAAACATTTTAGTTTTATATTGGTGTCATAAATTATCACATTGATATAAAGTAATAATATTAATGAACATATATAAGATATTGAACCTCAAAATATATCATGTGGCATTTACAAATGTGTCTCAAAATTTAATTTCACAAAAACAAATTCAAACAAGTACTGCCTTTGTATCATATTAGGATAAAGTTCCCTAAATCGGACTAAAATAATATACAGCAAGTGCACAAATATGACTATCACAATTTCTTCCTAAAATAGGACCCATTCACTTCTTAATAGGGACGTTATATACTTTTAATAGCATCTATTAATTAAAGTACTGTGTCTATGTTTTAATCCAATTTATTTTATATTATTTGTTTGTATAGTATTCCATTTCCGAAGGTGGTATAGTCTATTCCATCACATTTTTTTTAAAAAGTTTGCCATTATTTTTAGCCAGGGAAAACTGTCAAGGTCCTCGAACTTTCATAAAAAAGTCAATTAAGTCCTTCTATAGGAGACTTTGTCCGATCGTCACGATTTGGGGCGGTTCCAGGTGGAATTTTTTGATGAAATTTTTTGAGCATCTTATTCATCAAGTCTAGTTTACTCATTCCAAATTTCAGCTAAAAAATAAATCGGAGCGCATTCAAATTAATTCGAGAACGCAAAAATGTGCAGTTATCTTCAAGAATTAATTTGAATGTGTTCCCGATTGAATTTTTAGCTGAAATTTGGTATGAGTAAACTAGACTTGGTGAATAAAATGCTAAAAAAATTCATCAAAAACCTCCACCGGGAACTGTCCCAAATCGCGACGGGCGGACAGAACCTCCTATAGGACTCAATTGACCTTTTTATGAAAGTTTGAGAGCCTATTTGACAGTTTTCCCTTTTCAGCCAACTTTTTCATACTTTCTTTCATATTACCCCATACTCTCTCGTAGTGTTTACACCTTTGACTTTTTACACTGAACAACATCTATTGTGCATCTTTTTAGTTTTTTGTTAAGAATTTACTGAAACGAGTAATGACATACATATAGATCGAGTATAAACTTATCATTTTCCAAGGGTATAAGAGTCAGATAGGGCCTCGAACTTGGAAAAAAATGTCAAATAAGGCCATATTTAGGATGCTATGTCCGGTTGACGCCATTTGAGGCGGTTCCCGGTGGAATTTTTTGATGAAATTTTTTGAGAATCTTATTCATTAAGTCTAGTTTACTCATATCAAATTTGAACTAACAATTCAATCGGTAAAGCATTCAAATGAATTTTTGAAGATAACTGTGCTTTTAACTGCACAGTTATCTTCGAGAATTCATTTGAATGTCTTCCCGATTGAAGTTTTAGTTCAAATTTGATATGAGTAAGTTAGACTTAATGAATAAGATTCTCAAAAAATGTCATCAAAAAATTCCACCGGGAACTGTCCCAAATGGCGTCGGCCGGACAGAGCATCCTAAATATGACCTTATTTGACATTTTTTTTCAAGTTCGAGGCCCTATCTGACCCTTATCCCTTTTCCAAGCTATTAAATGATATAATGAAATGTTGATTTCACACAACATAATTTACTTAATGATTTGAAATGTATCTAAAATATATATTTATTGATTATGTAGAGTTAGAAGATACCCTATATATATAATTCGGTTCAAATGAGAAAATGATATTAGGAGAGAAATGAGATTAAATTTGGACTGTTAGATTGTAATATGTGAAATTGAATGTGCATTCAGTGAAATTGGAATGTGCATTTAGTGAAATTGAAACGTGCAGCATAGAGAATACGACAGTGGCATTATAAGACACCCTATACATGAATGGATGCTAAGTTATAAGATTCCCCTATTGACGCATGGTTATGTGTGCTTTTATATGCAGATTTTGAGGAAAGTGAGAGGGGGTGTTGTGGAACAGGAAAGTTAGAGGCATCATATTTGTGTAACAAATTCTCGCCAACATGCAAAGAACATGACAAGTTTATATTTTGGGATAGTTTCCATCCAACAGAAGCGTGTAACAAGATTCTCGTAGAGCAGATACTGCCCAAGTACATTTCACATTTAACTTAGTTTACTTAATTGTTATAACATTTATATATTATGTTCAATTTAATTGTATTAGTGGGCTTTTAATTAAACAGTGGGCTGTCCATATGTAATTAGGATGGTTTCCACTACGTCTAATAAATAGAAAACGTAATAGCGAATTATGCCTAAGAGTTCACAATATTCATACGGCCGCATATATTATTGTAAAGCACTCACTTGTTTGTACGTATTACGAATCATGTTGAATACTTTGTAATTCATCACAAGTGTTCTAAAAGGCCTCAAAAGGCTCCGATACGCAGGGACGGAGCCAGAACTCAGTCATAAGGGGGCCAAGAACAAACACAAACACTAAAGAAAAAAATCTCTAAATAGGACAAAAAAGTTTATAAAAAGGATTATCATTGTTTTAATCTCAAAATAGGACTTATTGACTCCTATTTTGGCAAACTTTAATCAAATAATTTTTAATAGAACTAAATAAGATCTATTCAAGGAGTAAAACATATTTTTTCATATTTTTAATGAGGAATGATCCTTTCAGAATTACATGACGGGATCCACCATCCGGATGTCTGTGTTTGATGTGCTTCCGGATGGATTTTTTGGGTGAAATTTTATGACAATATTCTTCATGATGTGTGATTATTTACACCTAATTTCAGTTTAAAATTCAATCGACAAATCAGTTAAATAAATTATTGAAAAAACACTGTAACAAAAAATATACAAATAAAAAACTCAGTGTTTTTCCATAATTTATTTAATTGACTCTCCAATTGCATGTAAGCTGAAATACGATGGATATAATATACACTTTATGAAATACATGTTCACAAAAATTCATCAAAAAATTCTACCTGAAAGCATCTCACATAAAAGCTTTTATCAAGTAGTTTTGACCCAATCTTTACTGATTATTTCATTTATAATAGTAGTATTACTAAAAAATAAAAAAGTTGGGAGGGGCCATGGCCCCCCTACCCATACACATACATCCGTCCCTGCCGATACGCTACTTTGTAATTCATCACAAGTGTTCTAAAAGGCCTCAAAAGGCTCCGATACGCGCGCGGGCCTTGGCGTGAGGTGTGAGTATAACGCCTCGCCTACCCGATAGGAGAGGGCAGAGGCGCGGCAAAGGCGCTGCAAGTCTGCAACTTGATCTAGTATGGTGAATTAGAACGCTTTTCTCCCACCGGTGTGGGACTAAGAATGGGAACGGAGGAACAAAAAATCCGTAGTAATTCATAATGCATCTCGCCTACCGGTGTGGGATAGAGAATGGAACCAATATACGATCATACCTGGGTAACAGGGTAAGCCAATGTCTCTAACTCAACTCTAACTCATATTGCTAACTATTCAATTTTATCAGTTCTAACTAGTTTTGTACCCGTGCGATGCACGGGATATTTATTTCATTATTTACAATTGGAAAAAGAGTCAAATAGACTCTTTTACTAATTATTTTCAACCCATCGCTTAAACTCTCCTATTAAAAAACATCGTATAAGTACGTTTACTTTTTAAATACAATCAATTCATTTTGATATGCTATAATAAGTCAATTTTTTAAAAATAAATCAGGAGTATTGGAAAATCTTATTCAAATTCATATAAATTTGAAAAATAATGTAATAACAATATAAAAATAGCATAAATGTAAAAAAAATCATGTAAAACATTAAAATCTGAAAATAAAATTAAAAAAAATGAATAAAAAAGTGAAAATGTATAAAATATAAAATATAAATTGTAAAAACCTTTTAAATATTGACAAAATTTAAATTTTTGAAAAGGCTAAAGGGTCAAATAGGCCCTTGATCTTACTTAAAGTGTTCAATTAGCCCCTTATATAGAGGTTTTTCCCGGCCGTTGCCAATTGGGGTGGTTCCCGGTGGAATTTTTTGATGAAATTTTTTGAGCATCTCCTTCATTAAGTCTAGTTTACCCATACCAAATTTTAGCTAAAAATTCAATCGGGAAGGGAGTCAAATGCTTTTTTGAAGATGACTGTGCTGTTAAACAACGCAATACATTTCGGAAAATCATTTGACTGCCTTCCCGGTTGAATTTTTAGCTGAAATTTGGTATGAGTAAACTAGACTTAATGAAGAAGATGCTCAAAAAAATTCATCAAAAATTCCACTGGGAACCGCCCCAATTGGCGACGGTCGGGCAGAACCTTCTATATAATGGGCTAATTGAACACTTTAAGTCAGTTCAAGGGCGTATTTGACCCTTTAGCCTTTTGAAAATATTGACTTTTACATTCTGAAAATTTTCACAGTTTTTATCTTTATTTTTTCAAATTTTAACGATTTTTTAGTTTTTAATATTTAAACCTTGCTATTCCATGTCAAAAACTGAATATAAGGCCAGAATTGTCAGTTTTTATAGTAAGGATTTAAGTGATTAATTGGAAATAGTAGAATGACTTATTTGATCCTTTTTCCAATACTATTTTGTATTTTAAAATGTTAAAACATACCTGATATATAAACATCAAACTGGATTCTTACTTCCAACCAAAAAAATTTATTTTTGTCAAAACAGTAAAATAAAGGAAAAACTATCGAATTTTTATTATTCATAGGACATATATATAGGTTTAAAGATTTTTCAATCAACTTAGCCAGATAAACTTAAACATAAAATAAAAGATTATTGAAAATATAAATCATTATTCCTCTCTAATAAGATTTGGAAATTAGTCTCAACTAAGATTACACATGTTATTCAAAAGCATTATACGGAGTATACACTTTTATTATGTGATGACTGGGCTCATTACGTAATATGAAGTTCGTTTATAGTCTTTTTTTTTTTAAACACTGCGTTTATAGTCTAATGTTAGCTAACACTATTGAGGTCTGGATTTTTATAACTTTGTAGACACATTTTTGGTAATTTTCGATCAGACGATGTAATTATCAATCACTTCTAAAAAAGATAAATAGCATCAATAAGTAACACTCTTTGCTAAGGATTACTTGTGACGGTGGAGATAGGGAGGGGTTGGAAGTAGGGGTGGAGCCAGGACACTGGTCCGGGCTGAGTCAATATAAAGAAGATTTTGGGAGGGGAAATATACGGAATTTTTTACTTTAAAAATTAAGACATTTTTAAAATTTGAAATGAACCAGGACCTAGGTTCGCCCTCCCATAGCTTGCCCCTTGTTGGAGGAGGCTTCGGTTGCCCTAAGATTTTTTTATGCATATATTGATATATATAAATACTTATAATTTATAAATATATGTTGGAGTTTTATGTTTTGGACTCCACAATATTCCATATAATATTTGTGACAATGGTTGTTAAGGTACTTCTAGCAAATTTAAGAATCAATAATTATCACAAAACATGAATGAACATACACTAATTACAATGCTTTCCAAAATGAAGGTATTATCTAAATTCAAGGATGTATGAAGGCTAATATAATTATAGGGAAAATTGCACTTTTAGTCACTCAAATAGTCACCATATTGAAATGTCAGACCCGTATTCCCAAGGTTGTAAGTGTCACCCCTCAATTATCCAAATTGTTGTAAATGTGGTTCTTTGAGGGGTGGAATATACAATTTGGGCAAGAAGTAAATTTCACCCTTCAAAGAACCACATTTACAACAATTTGGATAATTGAGGGGTGACATTTAAAATTTCAGAAATACGGCTCTGACATTTTAATATGATGACTATTTCAGGGACTAAAAGTGTGCTTTTTGCCATAGTTATATTACTTCAAGTATTGGTTCCAGGAAAATAGTAACCTGAAACAATCAACAATAAGTGATTCTATGATTTTAGATACAATCCAAATCTAAACAATATTTAAGGGCATTTCTTATAAAAAATTATAAACACCAATGAGAGTAAGGTTATTTTAGGTATAGAAAATTTGTTGGTGTAATATCACAGCTTTGTCACTATGTACCCCAGGCTTAAGTGAGTGTACCCAATCTACTTAATTCTCCCTTCGTAAACGGCTGTTCCCGACTTCCCGTTAACAACACAGGTCCCCACACAGTCCCGTTAACACCTCATCTTCGTCCATTACATCCCCTTCACATTCAATCCTGACTGATTAGGCTAGGGCTAAGAACTCACTTTGTTCTGCTGACACACAAGCCCGACGCCAATGTCCCTGAACTGCTTCGATTCCCTTCATGTTCTCTAAATCCTCTCAGTTAATTTCATTTTCCATTGCCTCCATCTTCTCCCCATACTCTAAGGTATTAATTTCGTGTTTTATGAAGATTGCATTTAAAGATTTCATTCAATATTCAACTCGACCACCCTTGATTGTAACTATTATTTGTGTCCACCATCTGCACAGCACAAGTTATAGCAACTTAAAAGCCTCTCTATATTTTAATTGTTCCCCCTTATTCTTCCGCTGCTCGACACTCTACTCCAGGTAAATGTCATGGCATTTGTTAACTTGGTGTTTTTCTTCAAATTATTTTATTGCCTATGTAGATAATAGTCTCAATAACCTTTCATTTAGAACAGATCCATTTCAAGTGAATTTCTCTATAAAGTATTTCTGGAACATACTTCTATGCATGTACTAATCATATCCAGAACAAACTGATGTACACTAAAGTGTTGAGCACGAAAATCCTTCTGGGAATCTTTATATCAAGCTATAAAAGCTTTTAGACGCTCATATTATATGCATGTATCTTGATTTCATATATTTTACGCACTTAATATGATTATTAAATTATTTTAGCTCTAGTTTATACTATAATCATATAACCTGCACATTTAAGCTATAAGGTATCATTGATTGTAAATGAGCTTTTTGAGGGTTTATTGAGATGAAAGTCTTAAAGTGTCGTGGTTTGAAGAATAAACTTTTATTCTTTGATTATTGGCTGGGAATAAAATAAAAAAGTCACTAGATGACACAATTTGGGAACAGGTAGATGGTTCTGATATATTCTTGGAGATGTAACAGGACTAACAGAAGCTTAGGTAAGTTTACAAATTACAAGAAATTGAGAGAACCAAGCTAAAAAGATAAGGGGCGTTAGGCGTTAGCTAGAAGAAACTCCGAAATAGAAAACAACAGCATACCATGTATGAGGCATTAACGCGCAATGAACACTTTACTGAGAGACCGTGGGGGAGAAATTGAAACAGTTGCATTGGTGGCATCATATCATATAGAATTTGCAACAAATGGTGCCAAACGTGTTGAATTCCATGTGCATTAGTGCCTTCATGATAATATACTTCATAGGATTCAGTGAAAGTGTTCTGATTTTGAGTATTAGAAGACTCTTTTGTCCTTCAGGTGTGGGCTGTTTTATTTTTTCTCTAACTATGATGTTTAAATTATTTTTGTTATCCTAACAAACTATTGATCATAAGAAGTTTAGGCGGATAATAAGTACGTTCGAGTGGACAAAGTTTGAGTCAGATTAGAGGCTTAAAAGCAGACAATTGTTTAGAGCAGATGCAAAAATTTCCTGCATTTGGTACCTTCAGTTTTCGTAGTTGTACAATCATGAAAGAGAAGACATGGTTAGACTTCTCTTTGTTTAATTCATACAATTCATACTCAGAGTAGGATTTGTATCAGGTTGAACACTTGAACTAACAGTGTCTTGTCAGGCCAACTTTGACTTTGGCCCTAAAATTACTTCAACCATGCAATTCCTTTTTTGGAATTTTATAAATCGAGGACATGAAAGATGAAAGTTGTTGATATAAGACCCGAATGATCGGAAACTATCAATCAAAGACCTAAAATATGATATATTCTGATTTATTTACTTTTTTATTTATTTTATTTCTATTTTTTATGATTTTTGTCACAAAAGTTAATTAGTTCAAACAAAGTAAATAAATTTAAAAAAAAAATCCTCATATTTTAAGTGTTAGGTTGATAGTTTTCAATCATTCAAGCCTTGTATCGAAAAGAATTTAGTCTTAGATTGATATTTTAGGTCCTAGATTGATAAAGTTCATTTTTACTCATTAGAGTTAAGTATTAATTTCAAGTGAACAATTCATTTTCATCGAAAAGAAATAATTGAAACTGGATTTCTAATGATGAGTATGTCCACAGTTAGGAGGTCATTTCTAATAGAGGCAGTGGGTTTTTAGCGTCTAGCTTTAAGGAACGTGATACTAATAAGCTAAGCTAAAAATATGAACGGTTGTGGTCAAAATAGAAGTTGACCAAATGAGATCCTTGTCAGTAAACTACTCTACGCACTAAATATGTATGATGCATTTGTTATGTGTACACAGATTCCTTAGTATGAAGCATCCATACCCAAAAAAGCACATGCATTTTTTACATGAGCTATGTATTATGTACTCCCTCCGTCCCATTTTGGTTGTCCTACTTTCCTTTTTGGGTTGTCCCAAAATGAATGTCTTGTTTCCTTTTTTGGCAAGAAATATGTGGTCCTTATCATTTCAATTTATTTTACTCAAATCTCAACCACAACTTTTACTTTTCAACCACTTTATTAATAATCGTGCCAAATTGAAAGTGGACAACCAATATGGGACGGAGGTAGTATCACGTAATCCGCAATGGCTTCCAATCCAGCATGAAGTTGTACCAATAGGAGTGAAAGAGTTATCAAAAGCTGATCAAATTCAATGGTCTGCAAGATTTAACTACCAAACAAATAATAGACAACTTGCTACCTCAATTATTTGGAAGATAAGATGTCAGCCCTTATCTTTTTGTAATCATTAGTCTTTGGTTTCCCTATAAATAGAAGACCTCTAAGGCATTGTAGATCATCAATTCCAATCACTCTTTGTTCAATATACAGATTTTATATTCCGCTGCATTTCATCTTTATCTTTATATCTTTTCATTTTGAGTTTTATTATGGCATCAGAGCCTAGGCTTGCCTAGGGACTCTTTGATTCTTTCAAATTTCTTAATTCTCTGTTTCATATTTGACTGTTTCCTTTAAGCTTTGTTTTGTGCTGAAAATGAATGATGCATCTAGTAAAACTACGGATGAAAGTTCATCTAAAACCACCAAGCGTGGCAGCTCTCTTGAGCATGATGACCCGTATAGTGCATACTATCTTAATCACACAGACAATAGTAATTCTGGAGCAGTCACTACACTCCTTGATGGAAGGAATTATCACACTTGGCACAGAGATTTTGAAATGAATCTTAAACTAAAAAACAAAATGGGTTTTGTTGATGGAACTCTTGCTATGCCAGCAAGTGATGATCCAAATTTACAAGCCTGGGTCAAGTGTAATACACTGGTCCTTTCTTGGCTTCATAATTCTGTTTCTTCAGAAATTAAAAACACAATATTATACTGCGATACTGCCAAAGAGGCATATGAAAAATTGAAAATCAGATATGATGAGCCTAGTGACATAAGAACCTTTCAGCTTGAACAAGATCTGAATGCAATCACTCAGGACTCACTATCTGTTGGTGATTATTTTACTAAATTAAATCCCATCTGGGAAGATCTTAAGCATTATCAACCTTCACCATGTTGCAAATGTGGAAAATGCACATGTAAACTCCATGATGAGTTCCTGAAAATTCAGGAGAAAAGGAAAATTTTCAAATTTCTCATGAGCCTAAATGACTCAAATGATTTTATCAGAGGAAAAATCATATCTCAAGATCCTCTTCCTAGTCTTGACAAAACATATCATCTTGTTTTACAAGAAGAGAAGCAGAAACAAGCTAGAAGTTTTACATCATCTTATTCTGAAGCTTCAGCTCTTTCTGTTGGCTATAAAAGGAAAATGTTCTGCAAAAACTGTCATATGACAAACCACAATGTGGAAAACTGCTTTAAGATTTATGGCTACCCACCTGGTGCTAACAAGAAAAATAACTATGAGCATGGAGGAAGAGGTGGTAGAGGTGGAAAATCCGGAAGAGGTAGAGGCAGATTTGGTGATGATAGATACATGCATGAAAGAGTGCAAGAGAGTTCATCTGCAATGGTGATGGGAGAACCATCTACCGGAAGTTTTAAAGGAAACATAAATGTTTCAAATGGTCAAGTAACCATCTCATCTGACCAATTGCATTCTCTTCTAGCAATGGCAGAAAAATTCAAAAATGAAAGTTTACCAAAGGCAATTGCAGCAACACCTACTGATCCAATTTCAAATTGTGCAGGTACTTTTTCTCATGAATTTAAATATAAGCGATGGATAATTGATTCAGGAGCTACACATCATATTGTGTCTTCTCCAAGTTTCTTCACTGATAATATAAAGAAAATTAATAGTACAGTTAAGTTACCTAATGGTAACAAAATCCCTGTAACATATATAGGTGATATTTTTGTTAACAAGGATATTGCTCTGAAAAAGGTTCTATGTGTTCCTAGTTTCAGCATTAACTTAATTTCTGTAAGTCGAATCACTGCAGATAACAATTTAAATGTGATTTTTACAAAAGATTCTTGCCAAATTTTTCAGGAAAACTCAAAAGCATTGATGAAATCTTTGAGGAAGATTGGCAATCAGAATGAACAAGTGGAGGGATCATACCACTTAAGGGAAGAAAAATGTTTTGAGCAAAAGGTGTTTTCAGTCAACCAAGCTAACGAAGCAAGTGTTTCTAGTCATATTTGGCACTATAGACTAGGACATTTATCTCATGAGAGACTTTGTTTAATTAAGCTTGGATCTCCGATTGTTTCTTGTAATAAATTCTCTTATTGCACTGTTTGTCAAATGTCCAAACAAAAGAGATCTCGTTTTCCATCTAAATGTACTTCCAATTGTTCTTCTAGTAAAAATACTTCTATTATCACTTCATCTTATACTTCCAGTTCTCGTTTTGAATTGATACATTGTGATCTTTGGGGTCCTTTTTCAGTGAAAACAACAAATGGACAAAGTTATTTTTTAACCATAGTAGATGATTTTAGTAGGGCAACATGGATTCATTTGCTTAAACATAAATCAGATACACAGGTAACAATGAAAAACTTTATCAAAATGGTGGAAACCCAATTTAAAGTAAATGTTCAAAAGGTAAGGACAGATAATGGTCAAGAATTCAATATTGATGATTTTTGCAATGATAAAGGAATCATACATCAAAGATCATGTCCATATACACCTCAACAAAATTCAGTGGTTGAAAGAAAGCATCAACATCTACTTAACGTAGCAAGAGCATTGATGTTTCAATCACATTTACCCAAACATTTTTGGGGTGAAGCTGTTTTAGCAGCAGCATACCTGATTAACAGAATACCTACTCCAAGGTTAAATGGAAAATCTCCTTTTGAAATGATATACGGAAAGAAACCAGAATATGGAGACATAAAAGTTTTTGGATGCTTGTGTTTTGCATCTAGTTTGCCAGTTCAAAGAAAGAAGTTTGACTCAAGGTCAAGAAAAAGTGTTTTCATCGGTTATCCAGCACATATCAAGGGATAAAAGTGCTATGACCTTAAAGCAAAAACAATTTTCATCTCAAGGGATGTAATATTTGCAGAAAATGTTTTTCCTTTTAACAAGGAACAAGGAATGAGTGAGAAAATAGTTTACTCACTAGGTTCATTACCTAATATCACAACAAGTCCCTTGATGACTCCAAATATGAGCAATGGCTCAGATTCACCAGATTCTTTTCAAGAGTTTGATGAAACATTAGAACCTATAGCTACAGAAACATTTCAAGAAAAAGAAATGAATATATCTCAAGAAGAACATCATGATTCTATACAAAATGAGAATGAAGATTCATCTTATTATATAAGTGATTCTGAGGGAACCACATTGAGTGATGCTCAGTTAAGATCACAAGAAGAGGTCGAGACACCCTCAAATTATATAACTGATTCTGAAGGAACCACAATTAGTGATACTCAATCACAGAGATCACAAGGAGAGGTCAAGATACCCCCCAAATATGAAAGTGATTCCGAAGGAATTACAAAAGGTGATACTCAGTTAAGGAGATCACAAAGAGAGGCCAAGACACCCTCACATTTGAAACATTTTCATCATTATAAAGTACCAAGATCTAACTTGGTTTATCACGACGGTGTTAAAACTGCATATCCTCTATCTCATTTTTTGGGATATGACAAACTTTCTGAACAACAACAATGTTATTCAGCCACTTTATCGACTCTAAATGAGCCAGAAACATATCAACAAGCTATTTTAGATCCATTATGGAAGAAAGCTATCAATGAAGAATTGAAAGCTCTAAAGGATAATAATACATGGGACATAGTTCCTATTTCTGATGACATCAAGCCAATAGGCTGTAGATATGTCTTTAAAATCAAGTTAAACTCCGATGGAGAAATTGATAAATACAAAGCCAGATTAGTAGCCAAAGGTTACACTCAACAATTTGGCTTAGATTATACTGAGACATTCAGTCCAGTTGCAAAATTAACGTCCATTAAAGTGCTATTAGCATTGGCTGCAAAGCACAATTGGCATTTGGAACAACTTGATGTTCATAATGCATTTTTAAATGGTGATCTTGAAGAAGACATTTACATGTCTTTACCTCCAGGTCTTTCAATTCAGGGGGAGAAAAGCAGAAGCATTAGGTATGCGTGCAAACTTAAAAAGTCCCTATATGGTCTAAAACAGGCCAGTAGGCAATGGAATGAAACGTTCACTCATTTTCTGAAAACGATAGGTTTCAGACAATCCAAAAGTGAATATTCACTCTTTATCAGACAAGAAAATGGCAAAGTCATTTTTTTATTAGTATATGTCGATGACATTATCATTGCCGGAGATGATCAAGTAAAAATAAACTCCGTGAAGAAAGAACTTCAAGACAAGTTCAAAATTCGAGACCTAGGAAAGTTAAAATATTTTCTTGGTCTAGAAATAGCAAGAAACTCCAAAGGTATACATATTTCGCAAAGGAAGTATGCATCGGAGATACTTGAACAAACTAGATTATTAGGCTGTAAACCAGCTATAAATCCAATAATTCAGAATCATAAATTCAAACAATTTGAAGAAGGAACTCAAGAGGAGCTCCTGAAGAATCCTACACTTTATAGAAAAGTGATTGGAAAATTGATTTACTTAACTATTACAAGATCTGACATTTCATATGCTGTTGGAATAATGAGTCAATTCATAGAAAAACCCACAAGAACTCATATGAAGGCACTGCTAAGAATTGTCAGGTATGTGAAAAATAATATAGGTCATGGCTTGTTCTATAGCTCAGATAAAAATCTAGAGATGAAAGCTTATTGTGACTCAGATTATGCTGGTTGTCCATACACCAGGAAATCAGTAACTGGGTATTGTATCCTGATAGGAAACTCACTTGTCAGTTGGAAGTCAAAGAAACAACAAACAGTGAGCAGATCATCAACAGAAGCAGAGTATAGGTCAATGGCTTATACCAGTTGTGAGATCACATGGTTAAAATCACTACTCAAAGATTTTCAGATTGAAATTCAAAAGCCAATAGATCTGTTTTGTGATAACCAATCAGCAATATATCTCACTAAGAATCCTGTTCTACATGAGAGAACAAAACACATTGAAGTTGACTGCCATTTCATCAGAGAAAAGGTAGCACAAGGAATAATTGATGTAAAGTACATTCCATCAAAAATGCAGTTAGCAGATATATTCACAAAGGCAATCTCCGGAGAAGATCTAGAGAGAATAACATGCAAGATGGGAATGAAGAACATCTACAACTCCATCTTGAGGGGGAGTATCAAAAGCTGATCAAATTCAATGGTCTGCAAGATTTAACTACCAAACAAATAATAGACAACTTGCTACCTCAATTATTTGGAAGATAAGATGCCAGCCCTTATCTTTTTGTAATCATTAGTCTTTGGTTTCCCTATAAATAGAAGACCTCTAAGGCATTGTAGATCATCAATTCCAATCACTCTTTGTTCAATATACAGATTTTATATTCCGCTGCATTTCATCTTTATCTTTATATCTTTTCATTTTGAGTTTTATTAAGAGTCATCCAATAATGAAAATTTAGAACAAACTGAAATTTACAAAATTGAAAAGGAAAAGACAATTTCAATGATGGGAAAGGATGAACCTGCAATGGTCCTTAGCAGGGTAGGTTACACCAGGAGGGATAGGTCTGGATTTCTCCCTCCAGTCGTCTCTAAGCTTCAATGCCTTTGTGTTGGAGGAGTTAGGTTCTGTTTACGGTCAGTTCACAGGAAAACGATATTATGTTTTTAAGGAATTGTGATTGACGACATGTATGAATGAATATGAAGCATGTATTAGGGAAAGGGACCTTTAGAAGAAGCAAAGACAGCAGGGAAGGTGAAAGGAAAAGGAGAGAAGTCAGAGAACTTTACTGCACTGAAAACAACCATGGTCTTTTGAAATTGTTTTTAGCCACCTAAATGATAAGATAAATGATACATTGTACTCCGTAGTTTGCATTCACCCCTCCCCACTGAAGTATTATAATTAATTTGAGTTGGTTTTGTTTTTACTTCTCAATTTTCAAATTAAAATATTAGTTTCTTTTCCCATATATTTTTAAATATTTTTTGTGGTGTGTTCTTTAGGAGGTGTTTCAAAGGCATGTTCTTTATGTTGATTTTTTCTTGTTGTATATTTTACTTTATCAAGTGAAGATGATAATGATGACATTCATTTTGATAATAGAGCTAGATGACATCCACATTGATAGTGAGGTTGCATCCTTCTCAATAGATCTGTTCTCTCCATTTGAACTTGATCTGTTATTTGCATACAATTTTCCTAATGTGATACTCCCTCCGTCCCGCTAAGATTGTCCCATTTTACCTTTTCGGAAAGTCCCACTAAGATTGTCTCATACCAAATTTGGTAAAGATTGTGTGGCTCTAAATCATTCTTACTTTATTCTTACTTTATCAATTTAATATCAACCACACAAACCCACCTTTCTTAATAATCGTGCCACCTTCTTCCGTCTCATTCTTAGTGGGACGGAGGTAGTACAATATTGTGACATTTAATTATGTATTTTAGTCAAGTTAATGTGATGATGATCCATATATAATTTCTCCATAAAGTATCATATGTCTAATTCATGCACTTTTTTCTCTAGCATTTACTTTTAATTATCAAAATATTCTTTATTGGACAGAGACATGAGAAGAGCAATAAAATGCTTCTATGCTTGATAAAAGTACTTTTTCCCCATATGTTGTAATTCATGTAATAGACCAGTAAAGACTCTGATTCTGAAAAGAAAATTTTGGCATGCTTGTTTGGATGTTGATAAATCACATGACAGATAAGAGGGCCTTGTGATATGTATGGGATTTTCTAGATATATTGTCATAGAAATAATTGACGTACAAATAGCTCAAGTATAATGGGGTTTTCACTGTCGCCATTATAAATTAGGTATCACATGAAATGTATCACTTGCAAATTTGCAACTTATGCAATTTGACGGAAACATCCAAAAGTGAACTAATTATTGGGCATCCTCCTTATCGCGCAGCGCGCGTCGTAAAACTAGTCCTTAACTATAAAGAGATACTCCGTAACACATATGCTAATGAAGTAAACAAATTTGAGGCCAAATATGATTCGTGATTGTTAATAAACTTGACCCATCAATGTATTAATGAATCTTAATAGCATTTGTTATGAATATTAATGAGTAAGCTAAGGGACTTCACAAACTTTTTGTAAACCCAAATTATATTACTCATAGTCCGTCACACATCTTTTGCTAGTTGATTTTTGCATTACAAAACCACACACTAATATAGACCATGCATCTGGAACTAATAATGACTCTCTAGAACACTAATACTGTATTTAATTACTATAGCAGTAGTCCATTCGGAATTGCAAAAGTCTGCCACTTCAAGCCTTCCTCTGAACATTGATGTTTACGTACGTAAATTGAAAAGTCACACATCCTTGAAGCAATAAAATAGCTGAGCGGCTAGGTGTGGGAATTCCAAAAGCCAAGCCACAAATCATTTCGGGACATCTCACCAAAATAATTAATCACCTCTTTAAAAATAGCTACATTGTTCCCGCCCAAACTCTTCTCCCACTATTTTGTTACGGAGTATTATATATATAGATACTCCACACTAAATACGCTAAACAACTTCACTTATTATGAGTAATATTATTGTTATTCAAATTATTGTTATTCAAATCTGGAATTTTGAATTGGACCAACCATTGAAAAGTTTTTTCTAGTGACGACTGAGAAGCTCCCGGCCGTAATTCTGTTTGATTAGCTTGATGTTCAGGGGCAGATGTAAATGTTAACTCGTGTAAGCATAAGCTTTACCTCAATATTTATCATTACTCTATGTGGTACTAGTTTATAATTATTTGAGCTTCACGTTCGGATTTCGAACCCCACCAATGCTACATCCATGTTTTTGAACTTTTGATGTGCTTCACGTGTGCAGTTCACCCAAGCTTTTAAAGGAGGCAATTGTACTCCTACATCACTACACGATGTTTTTTAATTAAAGGCTTGTTGTTATTACAGACTTGCACCGTATTAAGATTTAGGGGTGGGGAAAAATACCGAAATTTCGGTATACCGGACTTGTCATATCGAAAAATATCAAATTTGCCAAAATGTTTGGTATACCGACACTTTTGGTATGGTATGATACCGTACCGAATTACTTCGGTACGGTATCGGTATATATTTTGGAAATAAACGGTATACTGGTATACCGTCATACACTAGTGGAAAAACGCCAAATAGAGGCGCTTTTTTTGGGGCACGCGCGCAGGGGCGGAGCCAGGACACTGGGCCGGACTGGGCCGGTACAAAGAATATTTTTGAAAAAAAAATTACACGGAATTTTTTACACTAAAAATATAGAGATTTTTAAATTTGGGCTGGGCCAGGGCCAGGGGTGGCCACCCCCTAGCTCCGCCCCTGCACGCGCGGCGCTTTGAAGCGCCTCCAGCAAATGTGACGCAAATCCACAATGGAGGTGCTTTTTAGCCAGAAAGCGCCTCTAATCTTTATTTTTTATTTAATTTAATTCGATTATCTGCGTCACTTCTGACTCAAAAAGCGCCGCACACACGTATTTTTTTTTAAATTTGCGGCGCTTCTGTAATGACAAGCGCCTCTGATATTCTTTTTTGCTGGCTGATTTTTAAAAGTTGTGCGGCGCTTTTGACAAAAAAAGCGCCTCCGAAGTCTACCACGAAAATTGTTTTGAAGGCGCTTGTGTTTGAAAAAGCGCCTCCAATTGTTTTTGTTTTTTTTAATATTATTTTTTAAAACGCCATATCACCTATTTTATTTACATAATTACATATCAATCACCAGCCAAAACTACACATTCATTCATAAATCCTGGACAACATGATACATATAGAATCGTTTCACACAAACTAAACTAGAAAAGTAGTTCAAATTTGTATCACAGTAGAAATAAATTACATTCAAGTTTGATTCATGTTCAAAATTCCACTACATATTCATAACTTCGTCTACGAAAAACCTAGCCCACGCATTTCTGATATCATTAAACTCCTCCGTAGTATATGGTTCACTTCTTGAATTCCAAACCTGAAAAATGTTCATACATAAGAAGAATAAATATAAGATAAATAATGAAAAAGTAAATTATAAATAAGTTAAATATATAAGATAAATAATGAAAAAGTTAAATTATAAATACTCACATTCTGTATTGCCCGTTTGTCTTGCACACTATATATTATATGAAAAATATAAAATATTATTTCATAATATGAATCTTTTTAAATTAAAGCATAACTTGTGTAAATAAGAGAAGATGTATGATGAAATTACCTTGACATTATGCCATTTGATTGATTTGCCACGACCTTTTTTAGTAGAAGCAACTCTATACATCCTATAATGATAACTCAATGTTTACATATATATACATGCTCAATGTTGACATACAAATATAAATGTTAAATATCACAAGTAAGTGATTAAAAATACATACATCGTAAGATCATCTTGAATAACAAAATTGGATGAACTTGGCAATGAATTGAATATATAGCCCTTATCAACCTTTGGACAAATTACAAATAAAATCCAATGATACCTATATTTCACAAGAGAATAGAAAATGGGTAAAAATACTTGTAAATACATTAAAGAGATCAGAATGTAATATTTGAATCATACCCTTCATTATATGCCAAGAGAATGAGATTCTTTTCAAACATTTGAACCAGAGCATGCTTCAAATAAGTCCGTGTGCCTTTTTTATGCAATTCATAATACTTCAAAGAACAAATCAAAGGACATAAAAGAACCACATCATCACGACCAAATTCAACCAATTTTGCATTTAGGCAACTGCACGTGAAATTATGATATCAATAATAATTAACTAGTAATTAAGTCTAACAAATATTCAAGAGTATTTATAAACTTATTATAATACTTACAGCATAAAGGTCTGAATAATTGACATATCAATAGAATCACTCTCAAGAAATTGACTCAAGTCTTGACGGTCACCAACGATCCCAAATTGGCTATCATCAATATAACAGAACAACTCCGCAGGAAGGGGAACACTAAACTTACAAAGATCGGGCTTTTTGCTTAGCCTCATTCCTTTTTTTTGACTTAGAAGGTGCTTCCTAAAATAATTATTATAGTAAAAAATATGAAACAATTTCATAAATAAATAAGCATCAAATGTAAAAAAATGAAACAATCACTTCATTACCTCTCCCTAAAAAAAAACTAAATGAGATGGCCACTGCACATATGAACCTACATCATCTGCTACAACACAGATATCAGCGGCTTCATTAGGTATATATGCAACATCTGATTTATTTCTTCAACAAAAGACATTAGCTATCTATGCAGCTATGCTTTCATGATGGTATATAATTTAGCTGTTTAAAACTATTATAATTACCAACAAAATGATAATATAATGATTTCTATCATTCATATTATATACTAGTATATAGTATAGTCTATTTTAGAAACTTATTACAGAAACAGAGTAAGAGTGTATAATATAGGCTGTTTTAGTTTGCCAAAAACAATACAACAATACAGGCTGTATATATACGAAGTTTGCCAAAAACAAAATTCTGTATATTTCTATATTAGTTTGCCAAAAACAATACAACAATACTCTTACTCTGGGGTGTTTGGATCTGATTCTCAAAACTGATTCTGCTCCTTCAGGGAGCAGAAGCAGAAACTGGAGTGTTTGGGTGAAATTCTAGAAGCACTTCTGGTGCTCTAATTTACTCTCAGAATCAGTTTTTTTAGAAGCTGGTAGGTACCAGCTTCTGAAAACTGATTCTGAATCTGCTTCTGCTTTAATAAAGAAGTAGGAGCATAATCACTTCCAAACACCCCCTCTGTTTTAGTTTGCCAAACAGAGTAATATAGGCTGTATAATTACGAAGAACAATACAACAATTTAACTTTGCTCCATTTGTTCTTCTTTCTCTTAATCAGAAGATTATTGCTAACTTTAACGAATTAGTTATTAATTAATGATTATTCATAATTATATTCAACATACATAGAAATATACTTTAGAAAAGTAAACTAAAATCATTAAAAAATCAAATCAACCAAAATATGTGAAAAAGTGAATGAAAAACAAATACCTATGTAGAGGCAAGCGGCAGAAGTACTTGACGGCGAGCTGGAGAAGTTCACAACTAGCGGGAGCAGACGGCGGTGGCGGCAACAGAGAGCACCGACAGCAGCGACGCAGACAGCAGCGGCGCGGACAGCAGTTCAATCGATTGTGGGGACGGCCGCGGCTAGCTGGTTCATTCGATTCTCAATCATCGGTTGTGGGAGACGGCCGCAGCTAGCTGGTTCAGTCGATTCTCAATCATCGGTTGTGGGCGACGGCGACGGCTAGCTAGTAGATTCTCAATCGTGCGCAATAGCGTTGTGGGCGATGGCCGGGATAGGGTAGATCTCGGCCGCTGTTAGCTGGATTGATTTGGAGGCCCTTTTGGTCTACAAGCGCCGCGCTTATTTAATTTCCGTCCGGCCCATATATTTTTATTCGAGGCGCTTTGAGCTAGAAGCGCCGCACGTGAGGTTCATATATTTAAAAAAAAAACGTAAACGAATTGGAGGCGCTTTTGAGTAAGAAGCGTCGCACGGCTCATTAGTTTTTTAAATATAAATATAATTCCAGAATATTTTAGAGGCGTTTTATCATAAGAAGCGTCGCACGATTCTGTAAAAAATATTGAAAAATAAAATTTCGACTAATAGAGGCGCTTTAACTTAAAAGCGCCTCTAACGAAGCACCTCTGTTTGGCGTTTTTCCACTAGTGATACCGTAATTCCAAGTCAATAATTTCCTTAAAATTATAAAAATAACTAGAAACACAACACTAATTCAAGGATGTATGACTTTATATCCATGTTTCTTGAATTATTTAGACTTTTTGTTGGAGATCGATGGTATTTTAATTATATTTATGTTGTTTAAATTATTTTAGTAGAATGTGTTGTTATCTTCATATATCATGTGTTGAAATATCTATACATATTTATAATATTTTTTGTCAAAAGTTGAATAGAACACAAATAGGTTATCTCATTGGTATTTTATAATTAATTTCATTAATGATTTTAGTATATCACTATTAACACTGATTTTCTTTATTTCATTTGACATATAATAATTTGTTATATTAAATCATGGTAATTTACCGATACCGTACCTTACCGTACTGAAATTTCGGTATACCGAAACAAGGTATATCGACATTTCGGTATGGTAACGGTATGTATTTTTGCATACCGAAAGTTTACGGTATGGTAAAGGTATGCGATAAAATATTCGGTATACCGTACCGAACCACCCCTATTAAGATTATAGTTATTGTTAGAGAAAATTCTAAATATATAAGTAAAAATGTTTGAGAATTTCAAAATAGAATTTGTCTTCTTTTTATTCCCAAAATAGGAGTAATTACTACCAATCTTGAAAAATACTGTTATGTTTAATAAACTATCGTATTTCCGAAACATGATAGTAATTGCTTCTATTTAGGGAATAAAAGCATAGCAGTCATATTTTCGAATACAAAAACATTCTTACTCCTAATTATGGCAATTTCCCTTATTATTAATCTATCATTACTTATTATTATTGTTATTCTGGTTGTTAATATAAATGTAGCTGTAAATTATATGTAGTATTATTTAATACTTCAATACGTTACTGTTGTGTAAACCACCAAGTGTAATTTTATTGCTTTCTCCTTGTCAAAATGATTTGCAAAATCAATTTTTATCAATACAATTTCACCTTTTTTTTTACTAATTTAACAAATCAAAATATTACTATATTTCAATTTGAGCTCTGCAACTTTAAAGAACTTTCAATGTATTTTCCAAATATGTATATTTTATTTATAAAAATGGTTTAGCTATCCACGGGTATAATTTAATCTTATTATCAGTCAATCTTAAAAGTCACAAATCTCAATCAATTCAAGACGGTGGAAGTATATATACATATATTTATTTTTTATTTAACCTTTTTTATTGTAATAATAGACCCAGACATAGTAAAATATTTGACTGTATATTATATAATACGTACATATGTGCATGCACTGACATCCGATGCCTAGGTCCGCCACTGTTGATGTTGTCTTTGTATTATAGAGACCTTACTTGTTAAATATTGCTTTACTTATACTAGGTACTAGGTATGATTCAATATAAATTACTCTGACTAAATTTACTATTGTAGTGATCATACGAAAGAGCCAAAGAGGTAACATTTTTATATATCTATGTTGTGACACCGCACCCGGACGTCCTTGAAAGTTCAATTTAAAAATTGAACGTCTATGTATTGAATTTCCGATTTACAAACAATTGTAAAACGATTACTATTTTACATAGCGCATGATTGATTATTGTACTGTTCAAACTCGTATATTAGTGTCGGGTTTGAAAATACTTATTTGGGCCTTATTAATGAAAATAAAAGCCCAACATTTCCCAAATAATGATACATAACCCTTCAAGACAAGTTGAGGGAGGACGGGCGGCCCAAACATTATTTTGGACCCAACCCGCTAAAAGTAGTAAGTATCCAAGAATGACGTCCTAGGCTCACTCGAGGGTGACCCACACGGATAGTAGTCCTATAATATGAATGACAATGTCAAAATACGTGATAGAATGACTAGGGAAGAATACAAATGCCTATGGTTCCCTCTTTGACATTATTGAGCTAAATAATGGGAGTAGGTTTTTCTTCTATAATATTCATCATGTAAATTATTAGGATGATCCTACACATATTGGGGATCAATAATATGATGTGTGGAGTTGACTTGGCCTACATAAATTATAATGAGTACAAAAAGACATCTCATGACAAAGATAAAACATTAGGACTCATCTTTCCGTTTTTTTGAAGTATTGGTAGATATTTTGGACCCCAAATTGATTGGGATCAAGTGGGAACATTTCCACATGACTTGAGTACCTGCAACACAAAGGAAAAGAGGTGAGATGACTACATGGGGCGGACTCTTGGCTCTTGTACTCAAAAACTCCAAGAGAAAACAAAAGGGGGAGGTCCACCCCATATTTGATAGCAAACCAAATATCTCCCTTGTTCTTTTGTGAGCCACATGCTCTCTTAGCATGATTAAGGTCTCCCATACACTCCCCCCAACACCCCATTCGAACCTTTGGAGATAATATAGAAGGGGGGAGCCACACACTTCAAGAGAGAGGTGAAGAAGAAGCTGGCCGCAGGTTCGTCTTCCTGTAGATAGGGGTGCTTGTTTGATCCATAACTTGAGCTTCACTCGTCCAAATAAGGCGTATAATATACCAAAAAAAACGAGGAATTCGTGACTCACTCGTCCATAACTTGAGCTTCACTCAAGACGCCCGAGGCTCACTCGTCCTAGGCTCACTCGTCCATAACTTGAGCTTCACTCAAGACGAGGAATCCGTGAAGGTCTGGTTTGCGTCAATCGGAGTAGTGAAAGGTTTCCAAATCGTCCGAGCAGAACACGACCTCGCAGAAACGGATTTACTCTTCTAAGTGAGTTTTAACCCCAAAACCTTTCCTTTCATTTTCCCAATGATATGAACGATTTGTGGAACTATTATACACTACTCCAAGTTTATAATATCTCCTTGTAAAGTTATTTTATTGGTGTAAAGGTTAGATACTAACCTAGAGCAAATCTTGGAAAAGCTAGGAAACGAGTTAGCCGGAAAACACCCATTCTAGGGGCTGTTTTCGTATCAATGATTAGGGGTTGAACTAGCACCTTGAGGAGGCTGTTTAACACTCATTTCCAAGAAAGGAATCAGTTCTCAAACTTCCTTGGCCGAGGCTTTGGTCATTGGATCGAGAAGGAAAGTTTTAAAGCTCATTTAAGGTGAGGATTGACATCTAATTGCTTACAACTTGTAGGTTAAGCATGAGATTACCTAAATGCCTAAATCATAATTTTTCATGAATTATGATGATGATGATTAAATATTGATGAAATATTGATGTAGTTCCCAAAGAATGAAATTGGAAATGATTGGAGGATGTATGAATAATATGAGATTAAATGAGTTATAAATGAACTATTTTGTGAAATAGGGATTTTACTCATGTATGAATTATGTGGATACATAAATGAATATTTATGTATTGAGACTGAATACTTAAGTTGCTGCAACATGCTTATAAATATGTAGAGAATTACAAAATGAGAGTATTTGTATGATAACAATAATCTTAATAGTATTGAAATACTAGTTAGTGATTATTGGAAATTGTTGATAGAATTGATCTTAAGGATTGGATTGTATGAAATGCACTTGAATATACTTCAAGTGTATATAATGACTTAGTATGAGACTAAGGTTAAGTTATGGGTAGACCTTAAGGATGACCCATGGTAATTTATTGATATGTCAATTCTAGGCATAAGTTTGCTTAAGAATTGGACCTTGGTGCATGGTGATGTGATAGAGCCGAGCTCTAGAATGCATGATAAGGTGGTAGACTTGTAGTCTATGTATGGTATAACTAGAGCCGAGCTCTAGGGCTTGCGTGGTGATGTGATAGAGCCGAGCTCTAGAACGCAAGGTAAGGAAATTGACCCAAGTGACATGAATTGTATGGTGATGTGATAGAGCCGAGCTCTAGAATACAATGTCATGTGTTAGGGTTGGACTCTATGAGTTGTCGTGGCTTATATATAGTCACGGGGAATGGGAATGATGATTTCTAAATGAATATGGGCCCACGGGCCGACTACTTGACTTTTATATAAAGTAAGTATATTTTCAAATGGGGTAACATAGGGTTACAATCATAATGTACTATCACCCTATTTGAGGGTCTTGTGTTTGAAATACTTGTTGTATATCTATTAGATGCCTGCCACACCAGTACTTTATAGTCGTATAGAGTACTGACCCCTTCGGGGGCGTCCCACCACCATTTCAGGTTGAGGCTTGAGCTTGCATCGTGTGCTCGTTGATTGAGTGATTCCTCGGAGATCGAGAAGACTTGGTTCGTGCTTCCTCCATTCTATTTGAAACATTAATAAATTTGTTCATGGATATTTTACTATAGAGCCTGCATGCTCATGAATTTAGCCCTGTGTGGCCCTTTTGTTTTAAACAATGTTTTCCGGTGCGATATGAATTACTTATTATGTTTGTTTATGGATGTTATATGTGTGAATGATATTCAAGACGCTTTGTATAATATGGATGCGTTGAACTGCGGTTGACTATTCGTATTGTATGGCGGGTTGTTGACGTGTCCGGGGAGGTCCGGGGCGTGACATATGTTTATTTTAGAGCATCTCCAATGCTATAATGAGAATGGTGCACACGTGGAATGAGAAATAACCATATAAATATTACTAGTAGCAAATAAATTATCTCTCTCCTTATTTGAATGATTTTATACATCTTTTGTAAGTTTTTCTCTGCAATGCCAACCACAATGTCAACATCTAGACGGTCTTCTTGACATAA